TCAACAGGATGTAACTCACATTTTTACATATAAAGCCACTCCTCCCCCCTCTTTAAAACTCTATTCCTATTAAATAGCCTGTAACCCTGTATTTCAAAGAAATTCCTGTCATCAAAATCATGTTTAACCATGTTTCAGTTATTCCCATTACATCAAAATCCTCCATCTGAAGTCATCTGTTTTATTTCTTATACTTCTAAAATTACAATAGTAGTGGCCCGGCATGGCCAGGTGGTTAGGGCGCTCAACTCGCAATCCGAGGGTCGCGGGTTCGAATCCCCATCACACCAAACATGCTCGCCCTTTCAGCCGTGGGGGTGTTATAATGTGACACTCAATCCCACTATTTGTTGGTAAAAGAGTAGCCCAAGAGTTGGCGGTGGGTGGTGATGACTAGCTATCTTCTCTCTAGTCTTATACTGCTAAATTAGGGACGGCTAGTAACAGTTAAGTTTATCCTTATAACTACTTCTATACTCATTTCCTATGCTAAACTTTTCTCTGCCTCTTATTCTTTTTGCATTTAGTTTTTCTGGCCCTCACTACTTTCTAGCCCTAATTTCAAATGTTCATTAGCTGTAGCAAACAAGCCAGCCCCTATCTTATTTAACTGTAAACCATCCATCCTAAAAAGCTCCATTCTTCCACTGAACTGATCCCACAAATCCAACCAGCCAATCTGTTCATCCTTACATACTAAACTAAGCCTAGCAATTAGCCCTAGTGACCTACTTATAACTTGATCCCCACATTTAATTGTGGGCAGTATCCCTGACAAAATTGAGTTATGACCTTTATCTTTAAATGCCTTTATCAACCCCTTGTACTTATTAATTAGCTCCTCTGATCTACCTTTCCCTACATCATTAGCCCGTACATGCATCTCTGCTAGCCCCCTTTATTATATCTCCTGCTTTGTCTGTTATATCTTTCACCTGTTCCCCTGGGTAGCATAATTTGATTCTTTTCTCACTATTTAACCCACAGACTATCTTATCCACATGCCTTGTCAAGGAACCACCTATAACTATAACCTCCTTATCATCCACATCCACTAGTAAAAAAAAGCATATTTTCACATTATTATAAATAAATATAGTAAGCAAATGTACTTTTAATATTCTTCATAGTAGTTTATTCTATCAACAATATGTTGCTCACAAACTATAGATATATTGTGTCAAATATTATAGCAGGATGTATTGTTAATATAGTTTGTGCCAGATATTGTAGTAATATAATTTCTATTAAATATTGTAGTAGTTTGTGTAGATAATATAATTTCTCTATTAAATATTGTAGTAGGTTGTGTTGATAATATAATTTCTCTATTGAATGTAGTTCGTTGTGTTAATAATATAATTTTTCTATTAAATGTAGTAGGTTGTGTTGTTATTACAGTTTCTCTATTAAATATTGTAGTAGGTTGTGTTGGTAATATAATTTCTATTAAATATTGTAGTAGGTTGTGTTGATGATATAATTTCTCTATTAAATGTCGTAGGTTGTGTTGATGATATAATTTCTTTATTAAATATTGTAGTAGGTTGTGTTGGTAATATAATTTCTATTAAATATTGTAGTAGGTTGTGTTGATGATATAATTTCTCTATTAAATGTTGTAGGTTGTGTTGACAATATAATTTCTCTATTAA